ACCTGGCTCATTATCACCTAAAATCTTCATTTTTCTCCTACTTTCTTTTTGCTGTTGTTCATTATATTATCTATCTGTATTTTATTTTACTCTTCTATACTCTAGTATTCAGAGCTAGGCCTATAATGATTCTATCGCAGGCCTTATTTGAAAAGAATCAATAAAGATATAAACAAAAAAAAACTCTTTTACTTCTAAATTTTCTCTGTAGCTCAAATGAAAACAAATAGACAAAACGACGATAGAATAGAATCTGAAAGAAGCATAGTCATTCAAAAATCAATAATCTGCCAGAGAAGATTTCGACAAAAGCTAAGGACGATCATACAGCTCGCAAAAAAGTTTGTTTATTTATTGTTTTCAGTTTGTAGAAGGCAGTCGCTATTACCATTTGATCGCATTCATCGCCTCTCCTTAGTTGGCGTCGATATGCGCATTTTCAAAAACAGATATTTTAAAGGACTGTGAATTCCTGCTCTCTGAAGAACACATGTGGTTTACGTTCTTCAGAAAGCTGGGGAAGAAAAATGAATTTAATTATCCTCCAAGTTACGATTACAAACTATACTTCTAAACAAGGTAGTCACACGGAATGGAAAACTAATTTTTTCTTGTATTTCTAAGCAATTAATTGCATCGAAAACAAGTTTTGAGTCTTTAACTTTACATATCTAACAATCAGTTTTATTTAAGAGTTTTGTACTGAAATATTCAAAACTAAAGAGAAAAAATCTTTTTGTAAACTAAAAGGTTAAAAAATATTAATCAGATATGTTCAGATTTCTCTTTGTATTTATTTCTTGGTTTTTATTTAGTTTATTTCTATATATTTTCTCATGGATAAATGTGATATTTTAATCTCTCTTCCGCTCCACTTTGTTTTTAAATGTAAATAGAGTTTGATTTTCTTGTTATTTTGTAACGGTTTTTGTGACATTAAGCTGTTATTGTGGTCGAAATAAAATAAGTACATTCACTAAATCATCATTTGTAATGAATCTATGTTTGCCCCTTTGTTCTTCTTAAAAGAAAAAGTTAGTCAATCATATATGTAAATAGTTTCCGTCTTGTACTATTTAATATTTGAACGTTGTTTTGGACAGTTTAGCATTGATGTTGCTGTTATCTCTATAATCATTTCATCATATCGATTCTGTTTTCAATCATAATGGAAAATGCTCAAATGATAGAGAATTTAATTCCCTATTAAACTATTGATTTTATTTTGAAACTAGTTTTGAATCATCGCTGTGGAAATAAAAATACTAAAATACGTTTGGCTGTCAGAGTTATAATGAAAGACTACTCGATCGACCCGATAGCACTTAATTCCAAATTTAAACTTTTTTCTTAGAAAATCGAAGGCTCTATTTCAAACTCATTCATTTCCATAAAACTTTCTATGGCACAAGTCCCTTTGCACATCATTAATTTCTTTTCACTCATTTTGGGTATGAGAGACAGGTTATTACTACACATTTTTATACAAAAGCTTCATCTTCTTTCTTATCCCTCACCTCTAAGCAGTGGAATGGTCTTTCTCCTTCAATAGCACACACGGTCAATTTAAATGTATTTCAAATGCTTCTCAAAAATCATGTAAATTATTTTTAGTATGTACATGCTCTTTCTGCTATTCTTGTGGCATATAAGAACTATTGTTGTTCTTTCTCTTTTTCTCTCACTGTATTGTGGTTCATTTTTTCTCTCTCATATATTATGTATTATTTAGTATAGTAACGTATAAGATTTTCTAAAATAACATTTCTGTTATGGATATACCACTGAAATTAAGTGAGAAAAGATATCTTTAATGAGTGTACTAAAAGTTTGCTTAAATTTAAAGGAAAATTGTATCCATCGTTACAAATAGTTATTTGGAGCAAATGTTGTTATTCCCACCGTATAATTAGGATACCAAAATAATTTTGGTAAGGGAGATAAATATAATAGAAATATTTACATCGTAGTTTTTTTTCAACCACCATTAGAATTTGAATTAGCTTCGAACGAACGTGAAATATCATAATTAGTTATTGATGCTCAGAAATTACAAGCAACATTAATTAAAGTTAAAAAAACTTCATTTTCACAAGTACATTTTCTATTACTTATAATAATTTTTCATTCTTTGTAAATATTTATTTTTCAATATCAAATAGATTTCTGATCTTGAATCATTATTAAGTACGAAAGAGAAAACAATTCCACATTTAGAAGAGAAATTACAAACACAATCAGATTATGATGAAATTAAACGTGAATTAAGGTTATGAATTGTTTTATGTTTGTTATAAAATAATAAATATTCTATTTTTGTTTTGTAGTATATTAAAATCAGTCGATAATATCATTGATAAAACATCAGAACAACCTCTGTCATTGCTAACGCCAAAAACATTTTTTTCACCATTATTGTTAAACAGAGTCAAAAATGAACCAGCTATAAATGAAAATAATCAATGTTTATTATCTTCTATACCATCACTATTGACACAACAACAACAACAACAAAAATTGACAATATGTAATGATAATTATCGAAATTGGCTAATGTTAAATGGAATTGTACGTAACATCGATTTATTGAATCAATTAAATGGAATGAAAAATGATGAGAAAAAATGCATGACGAGATGAATGATGAAAATGAAGATGAAGAAGCATCAATTGATAGAAAAGGAATCGAACAACTGTTAGATTTAAGTATGAAATTTAGCACAATGGATATCAGCGTCTTCTTCAACAAACGATCTAAACTCGGATGATTTGTCCACTAATCAATCACTCATCACATCAAAATCATCGTTAAATTCGATTAAACTAGTTGAATCTATTTTACCATCTATTCGTGAATATGACACAATGAAATATCGTTATATAAACACAAATGAATTAGTACAAACAATTATATAATGTAAGTTTAATTCCTATTTCATTACGATTTTATGTTTTTTGTATTTTATTTTTAAGTTTAGATTTAGAGTTAAGTGTTGTAAGTTGTATTCCTTTATTTTTGTTTATAGATATAGTTATTATAAATTTTGTTTTATTTTTTATTTTAGTTACTATTAGATTAATAATAGATTGGTTTGTTGGAACTTTAAGTTGGGTAGAATAAATCAAAGCCAGGCGCTAGCATTCCAATAACTATAAAATCTCACAACTCTATGCAACAAATTTTTGATTTGTTTTTTTCGCCGTTCGCCGGAGCGTTTAGTATTATATTTGTTTGTCTGAGAATGCAGTTTTCGGTTTAAAAATATTGGTATTTATAGTTCGAAGTTTTTTATTTTTGTTGTTAAAATGTTTTCCTCTTGAAAATTCGTTTGAAAAGTAATATAATGATCATATTTAATAGTATTAGTTGGTTTTTAGAGAGGAAGATGTCGTTTTATATTCATTATCTGCCGTTTTCAGAGGTTCACATATCCAAGTAAAACGCATTACGGCTCGTGGAAATAAAAAGCGACACATAATATTTAAATACTTCGCAGCTTTCTTCTTTTGTCCATTTAATACCGAAGCGGCATGCTTGCCGTACTTATATCCTTTCCCTCCACATGATTTTGGGTGACTTTGAACTCTCTTGATTAACCATTGCATTTCTGGATCTTCGTCTGCGCTTGGGAAGTTGGTGGTAATTTATTTGTCACAAAAATTCCAAATTTCTTATCTAGTTTTTTCATCTGTTTCTGTATCACGATAACGAGGTGTATTTTTAATCCAAAGTAGCATATGCGCATGCATTGAACCTCTCATTTATGCGTCAAGATGCACAAAAAAATCTTGAACATCTCCTAGTGTAGTATCACTGAAAATAAGCATGCGTAAAAATGCTCTCAGGCGATGATCAAATAGTCTGGCGACGAGAACAGGATTATGTCGAAATTAAGTTTCTTTTTCTGCATGAATATAATCATCTTTCACACATATCGTACTATGTCTAGCTAGTGCATCAAGATAATCTTTCCAAAACATATTAGCACATGAAAGAGTGACAAAAATGCAGGCGTGTTTAACTGTCTTATGAAGCCAAAAAGATCTTTCATGGCATGTTGCCAGTGCTGCGGACTTCCTCTTACATGCTGCAAATGTCTAAACATCAAATCGTTTCTCATCAAGTGTCTCAAACTTTCATCATTTCTTACTTGTCCAACAGTTATACGATCTTTGTCGGGAAATTGTTTTCTTAAAGCAATAGATACACTTAAGTACGCTTTTTTTAAATCGTTAAGATATTGAAGAAGAAAAACATATGTAGCATTCTCTGCGAAACGTGGATCAGCACTGAAAAGTCGCGTATTACAATATAAAGAATATGACAGACTTTTCTCATGCGGATTGTTAAACCTACCTTTACCATCTGGAAAGATATGGGGAAATGCTGGGGCTAGACTAACTATCTCACGATCTAAAACATAACTTTCTAAATCTGTAGGTTGTAAACATGAATGTGCACTAAAATTAAATTTACTTCGAGGATCTTCTGTATCTTCTACTCCTATTTCACTATCTGAATCACTTTCACTACCACCAAAAATGTGATAAAAGTATAGTTTTACATTTTATATTTTTATTATGAATTTATATTTATAAACTCTTGTTTATCTATGGATAGATTTTAGTAAATTTTTATATTTTGGTTAACTGGTGATTTATTTTTAAGTTTAATTTTTTAAAGTTTATAAATTTTCAAAGTTTATTTTTTTAGTTGATAGTTTTATTGACTTTTATAATTTTATTAATTATTAAACGATTATCTGTTTTTTTTTGTAAGATAATAGAAAATAATATTTGTTTTCTAATCAAAAATATAAATTTTCTTTAAAATTAAGTTATTATAATTATTAACTGTTACTTAGGAGAATTAATTTTAAGTGAATAATATATACATATTATTATTGTTTTTAAGTTTGATAACTTCTAATACTTTTTATGTTTGATTAATTAATGACTTTATGTTAGTTTTGATTCTTTTATATTTAGTTTTAAATAATAGGAAGTATTATAGATTAATTACGTATTTTTTTATTCAGATTGTTGTTTCTTTTATTCTTTTTTTAACTGTTTATTGAAATTATTTTAGATTTTCTTTTATTTTAATAATAGTTAAATTGGGTGCTGCTCCTTTTCATTATTGAGTAGTTGTTATTACGATTGAAATAACTTATTATATATAACATTATTATATTTTAATTTTTGAAAAGATTATTAATTTTTGACTTTTGTGGTTGTTATATTTATTTAGGTCTTTCTATGTTTTTTAGTATTTTAGTTTCTTTTATTGGATTACTTATGGTATATGATTTATGATTATTAATAGTTTATTCTTCTATTAGTAATACTGGTATAATTTTAGTTAGAATAGTTACTATGAATCATTGGTTTTTATTAATATTATATATATTTATTACTTTAATTTTAATTGTATTTTTTTCTTTTATAAAATTTGATGATTTTTATTATTAGTAGTTGTTTTGTTTATGGTTGTTCCTCCTTTTTCTTGTTTTTGTTTATAAATTTACGGTTCTTCTTAATTTATTTAGTCTAAAATTAGTTTTTCTATAATATTTATAGATGTTTTATTATTAATTTATTATTTTAGTTTTATTTGTATTTATGGCCTTAGTTTTTTTAATAAGTCTTTATTTTTAATTTTACTAGTTTTTATAGTTTTATCTATTGTTTTAAATAGAATTTATGTTTCGTTGGTTTTATTCTACTACTCATAAAGATATTGGTACTTTATATTTTATTATTGGTATTTGAGCTGGTATTTTAGATGCTAATTTAAGTTTAGTTATTCGTACTGAATTAGGTGTTATTGGTGGCTTAATTTTAGATAAGCATTTATATAATGCTGTAGTTATTTAGTTTGGGTGGTTGAACTGTTTACCCTCCTTTATCGAATTCCGTTTATCATTTTGGTAGTTCAGTAGAAATAGCTATTTTTAGATTACACACTGCTGGGATTTCTTCTGTTTTGGATGGTATTAATTTTATTACTACTTGTTTTAAAAGTGAAGTTAGGCTTTTTATTAGTTTTGAGTATATAAATCTTTTTACTTGAGCAATGGTAGTTACTAGATTTGTGTTAGTTCTTAGTCTTCCAGTGTTGGCTGGTGGTATTACTATGTTGTTGTTTAATCATAATTCTGGTACATGCTTTTTTGATCCAAGTGAAGGTGGTAATCCCATTTTATTTCAACATTTATTTCGATTTTTTGGTCACCCAGAAGTTTATATTTTAATTGTTCCTGGTTTTGGTATAATTTCTCAAATTGTTATTAGAATTTCTTTAAAGGATGAGATTTTTGGTTGTTTAGGTATGGTTTATGTTATAATTTCTATTGGTTTATTAGGTTTTATTGTATGAGCTCATCATATATTTCCCGTTGGGATAGATGTTGATCCACGTGCTTATTTTACTGCAGCTACTATAGCTGTTGCTGTGCCTACTGGTATTAAGATTTTTAGCTGAATTGGTACACTAGCTGGTGGTATTTATAAGGCTGATTATTTGTTGCTTTGAGTTTTAGGTTTTCTTTTTCTTTTTACTATGGGTGGTTTACCTGGTATTGTTCTTTCTAATTCTAAATTTGATATTGTTATACATGACACTTATTATGTGGTAGCTCATTTTCATTATGCTTCGTCGTTATAGTGATTATGCCGATAGTATATTGTTTTGAAATGTAATTTCCTTGTTAGGTGCATTTATTTCTTTTCTATCTATAGTGTATATCTTTTATTATTATTTGGGTAGCTTTTGTAGAAAAACGTGTAGGTTTTTTAATGAATTTAAGAGATTATTGGGATCAAGAGTGAAATTTAAATACTCCTTTATCTTTGCATTCTTGTAGTGAATTAAGTAAAATTTATGTTTAATCTAAAAGTATAATTATGTTTGATTTCCATTCAGAAGTATTTAGATTATTTTAATATAAAAGTTTAAAATGTACGATTGTAAGTCATAAGATTTTATATTAATGAGATTTTTACGAGTTATGGTTTTATTATTTTATTTACTTTTACAGTCATGATTATTATATTTAAGGTTAAGTAATAATCTTAATGGCCGCATTTTTATATTGTTTTTTGTTTTGGCGATTTATTTTTATATAATTTTATTTTATTTAGTTTTGTTTTACAGTTTTGATTAAAATTCAAGATACTTTAATTTCGTATTTTATTAAAACAATTTAAAAACATTTAAAACAAATATATAAGACAATCAGACGTTTCGACCCCTTTTAAATTGAGGTCTTCTTCAGTGAACTTAATAAATATGTATAAAAATATATAAAAATAAAACTACTATAGTTAAAATTGTATAGTTTTATTTTTATATATTTTTATACATATTTATTAAGTTCACTGAAGAAGACCTCAATTTAAAAGGGGTCGAAACGTTTGATTGTCTTATATATTTGTTTTAAATGTTTTTAAATTGTTTTAATAAAATACGAAATTAAAGTATCTTCCCTTTTAATCAAATCTTATATATTTCGTATCGGTCAAGTGTTGCTCAATTTGTTTTACAGTATAAGTTTGTATTACAAAACATTTAATTTTTTAGTATATAATAATTTTATATGTTTTGGGGTATATTTTATTATACGTATGCATATATGTGCATTCGTGTGTATTATACTGGAATCATTGAACGAGGCAGAAGATTTATTTTACCGAAAAATATCATAAAAGTATTGAGACGAGAGAACCAAAACTATTAGGCACCTTCCAATAATGGAGATTCGTCGTCTCTGTAGATAAACATAAAAGCAGTCTAATGTGACATGGCCTTTGCTAATAATTTTTCAGTTCAAGTAGGACGCATAGTTAACCTGTGAAATCGTGTAGAATTTGACGAGGGTATCTTTATGTGATGATAAAATCATATAAGCCTCTAGAGAAGAAATTATGAACAGGATGCAATTGCTAATGAAAAGAAAACTGTATTGTGATGACTCTTTATCCAAATCTTTACGGAAAAAAATTCGGTAAAAATGTTTATATTTTGCTGCAATATGGCAACCCTTGCCTATATGTTTGAGTCTTTCATTTTGCAAGCACAAAAAACGGCTCTTTCATTCTGTTTTGTTACGTGAAAAACAAAAGCTTGAAAAAAAGACAACGACGAAGAAACAGAACATCAAGGATACACACACGCACACAAATTTAGAATACTTTTCTTTTCTAAAAATCCAATCGAACATTCTACGATACAACAATGACAACAAAATGTTTATAAAAGAAGCAAATCATTCATAAATCGTCATTCAGAATGAGGAAAAAATCTTTCTTAATAAGTAAGAATATATAGAATACAATAAAGAATAAGGCAATTTGTTTCGGAAAAATCCAATAAATGACAACAAAAAAAAAACAAGAGAACAACAAATTTGTATAATATCACTAATATAATAATGCACTTAAAGCTTCCACTGCTGATAAACGACTAGTTTAGTTACAAAAACAAATATAATTTTGAGCAAACAAATATCATTCACACGTACCAAAAGAGAATGTGTAATATTCTAGTTGTTTCACACAAAAAATAAGTTCATTCATGAGGAGAAGGCTATAATTGAGCACTCTCATCATATACACACTTACAAAGAGGTAGAGACTTTTTTCTGACAAGTGGGATTAACTTACAGTAAGTAAATGCTAAAAGAGACAGAAAATAGAAGAAAACCACATAAAAATATTAGAAAAAAATCACCATGTTTTGTTTCACATCACCAATACAAAGAAAAAGAGAAAAAGGATTGCTATGATACAACATCGACAATTGATGATTCGTCATGATTACTACCGCTTTCATTTTCACTTTCTTCTTGGTCTCCTGACGAGTCATTGATTGACACTTGATAAATGGATGGTTGTTGCTCTTGCGTATTAATATCAGTACACGTTTTTTCATATAATTTTCTGTATCACTATTAATAAAACTTTCTTTTTTTTATTTAATGCTCGTCTAATGTTGCTATCTTCTTCATTCTCATTTGTAATTGACGTATTATCAAATTTTTTAACAATAATCTTCTGTGGTATAGATTTACGTTTTGTACTACTACTCGTACTTGTTGTTGGTAATGATGCTGTTTTGATATCACTAATTAATGAAACAATATTGGTTGTTGCTATTGTTGGATTATCATGATTTAAAGTTAAATATTGATAACGGCGAGCGTTAGCTCGGATATGATCTATTTTAGGAGTTGAACATGAACCATCTACATCATTACTGTCATTTAGCCATATACTAAATACATAATTTAAAAATTAGAAAATTTATTATTTTACTATATGAGATCAATTACCTTGTTACAGGTACAAATGTTAGCATTGGATATTCATCTGTTTCATCTTCTAGATCGCTTTCATCATCACTTTCACCTGAATTGTCTTGTTGTAGTTGATCAATAACTATAAAATCTCACAACTCTATGCAACAAATTTTTGATTTGTTTTTTTCGCCGTTCGCCGGAGCGTTTATTATTATATTTGTTTGTCTGAGAATGCAGGTTTCGGTTTAAAAATATTGGCATTTATAGTTAGAAGTTTTTTATTTTTGTTGTTAAAATGTTTTCCTCTTGAAAATTCGTTTGAAAAGTAATATAATGACCATATTTTTTTCCATAATAATTCACTAACTGTTCCTTGTGATAAACTTAATATGTATCGAGCAAATATTCGTTGTCCGATATTATGTTGTGCTAATAATTTTCGAACAGCACTGGCTACAAACCCTATATCCAACGGTTCTAAGTTATTATTGTTGTTAGCGGTGGTGGGAGTAATAGTTGTAACACCATTATTTAGAATTCTCGCTTATTATAAATAAGCAAAAGAGTTAATTGAACATAAGATCAGAGTGTGTGTCAAAATAAAAGTTAATTCATATATATATATATCAATAGGCAGCATGTAGTGAGTACATTATGCAAGAAAAGCTTGTTTTTCATTTGTATGCTTACTTTCTAGATCTTGATGTGCTACTTTAACTTGTGTATTTTTATTTTGTAATGTTCAATTTTTCTCTAATAATAATATCTCTAATGACTTTTTCGGCATCGTAACTGTTTGATCATTATTTTGTTCATCGTTACGATAGGATGACGATGAAAATTCGATTGATTTTAATATACTACAAAACAAAAATAGAATATTTATTATTTTATAACAAACATAAAACAATTCATAACCTTAATTCACGTTTAATTTCATCATAATCTGATTGTGTTTGTAATTTCTCTTCTAAATGTGGAATTGTTTTCTCTTTCGTACTTAATAATGATTCAAGATCAGAAATCTATTTGATATTGAAAAATAAATATTTACAAAGAATGAAAAATTATTATAAGTAATAGAAAATGTACTTGTGAAAATGAAGTTTTTTTAACTTTAATTAATGTTGCTTGTAATTTCTGAGCATCAATAACTAATTATGATATTTCACGTTCGTTCGAAGCTAATTCAAATTCTAATGGTGATTTTGTTAAACGTTCATATTCATCATTTTCATCTTTAGTTGTAGAATTTTTATTATTTACATCGTTTGTTTGACTCAACTGTTCTAATTGTCACGTAATTTGTCAACTAGATGTTCAGAATTTGAGGCACGCTATCAAAACAAAATTATATTTTCATGAAAAATGATATTGTAGTATAAAAAAACTTTAATTTTTATAACGACTTACGTCGTTTGCTCATTCTAAATCTTGATTAAGTATTTCAATTTCAGATGAACGTGCACTACTCAAATCTTCTTGTTTAGATTTATATTCAAACATGTATTGATGTGCTTGTTCCAGTGTTGTCTATAACCAGTTCCATTTCTCCATATGTTGTAACTAAATCAAATTGTTGGTTTTGTAATTGACGTTCTTTATCACCATAAATACGTTGAAATTCTTTTTCTTTTTCTTTAATACGTGCTAAGAAAACAACACATTCATAATTAGTACAAAGATGGACATACAAAAAATGAAAAATCATTAAAGAATAAAAACGAAAAACAATACCTGTAAGTTTGATTCTGTTTTTTCTTCGAAGTCTCTGATCTTTTCTCGTAATTGTTTGATTGTTACTTCTATAATTAGAGAAAAGAAGAGAGAAGATATTAAAATAACTGAAAATTTTTCTTTTATTTTCTAAAACAAAACCAGATATAAAAACTACCTTGATTTTTTACATGAGAAAATTCGTGATTATATTCGTTCAATGTTTCACGTAATTTTAAATTTAAAGTTCTAAATCAGATACTTTTTCGGCTTTATGTTGTAAATTTTGAACGTGATTTGTGCAACAGCTTTTCTTATATCCTAAAATAAAATGATGATAATAATAATACTAATAACAAAATATACCGCAAAGATAAAAGAATATAGAAGAGATACTGCGAAGCTCTCGACTACTTGGCAACCCAAAAGAAAAAGAAAACAAATGTATTTTGAACACAGTGCCATACGTCAGGATAGAAGCAGAAAGTAAGTTCTGATATTCCGAAGTGTCATCTTTCTTTTCCTTTATCAGAGATTCGATTTAAATGTGTTGAAAATTGTTGATTTCGAAAATCAACAAAAGAGAAAATCGATAAAAGAAAAATAATTTTCCCACAACCGATTATGATACAACAAGATATGTCCCCTATAGAGATAAACATAAATATGGTCAGATGGACAAATAAAGATCAGTTTTTTTGTTTTTTGAAGAACAGATTTTTAACGGTGTATATTCTCCACAAATGTGTCAGAGAGCGCAGTTTCGTTGACCTGACAGATTAAAATTCTTAAAGACTAACGTTTTCTTCCTCATCAAGAAGTTAGTTGCTCTGGATAAACGAAGTTCCGACTTACCCTAGAGATCAAGATCCAATCTTATAAAAGAGTCGTATAACTTTTTATAAGAATTTCATAAGAATCTCACAGAGATCTTATGACAATCTTATATACTTCCTATGAAAAAGGAAAATTTGTACCAAATTATATATTTTTTCGTGTTTTTTTTCATTCCTTCAATTTTGTCTAAATGTGTAATCTTTGAGTTTATTCGTTGTTACCCTTAATGGGAACAATAAATTACATATCAGAAAAAAAAGGTAGTCACACAGAATGGAAAACTAATTTTTTCTTGTATTTCTCAGCAATTAATTACATCGAAAACAAGTTTCAAGTCTTAAACTTTACATATATAACAACAAGATTCAAATTTTGCTGATGAACAGTAAGTTTGATACAATAATATATATGAATTGTTTTAATGATTCTCCTCTGTATTTCTCTAGACATCCTTTTGTTCTTATGATAATGCTTAATCGATCATGGAATGAACAAGTGCGAAAACAAATATCTGAACTATTCATTTTAAGACTCACATTGTTTTATTTTTAACATTTGCCGAATGTATCTATGACTGAATTTTGTATTCACCATTGTAGTTATTCCTATAATTTTATTCATAAACCACTTCGGTAATAAATCTTGAGTAGATTAAATAGATGAAAACTTAATGTTCATTCCAGATGTGTTGAAATTCGAAAATGTCATAATGTAGCAATTGTGAACCATTATATCTGTTCAGGGGTAGAAGTTTTAGAATTGACTAACTTATCAATTGTAAAAATTGTATTTGGTTCAATTAAAACAACATTGAAAATAGCAGACTGTGAAAATGTATTGATATCGACTGTTTGTCGACGACTTGTTATCAATTAATTAAAATAAAATACAATTTTATTCTTAAACTAATGTATAAACTCAAGTCATTCTAGTCAATATCGTTGTGTACTATTATCTTGAAAAGTCACGAATTTTTAATCGTAAGACTTGTTAGTACGTTCATAGAATTAGGCATGCAACGATTATTCTATCAGGG